GTTGACTTTCTAAATACATTTTTTTTACCTTAGTATAGTATAGTAGTACCATACGCCATTATAGAACAAAACTAATGCTACACTATGTTATATACTTGTAATCAAGAAATGCAGGGCTACTCAAAACTATAAAAAAAATACAGGTTGTCCCATTTGAAATATTGAAGATGCATTTTATTCCTGTATACAAAATTTGGTCTGTTGTTACACTATTGGTCAGTACAGATAAAATAATACAACTTTTATTTGAAACTTTTTTTTGTATTCCCGAAATTAAGGAAAATAAGTGGGGGGTCAAAATATAATGAGAATCCCTGTACATATTATTTGATTGGGCAAGGTGAAGTGACTGTCATTCACCTAAAAACAAGCTTTTTCCCCTAGAAGCTGACTACTGTACACCAGTCAAACTGCAATCAACTGACTTATTGTATATTGAGCTACACAACTCATTCCATAATTCTGGAACCCTGCATCAGCTTGTACAGGTCTAGTGGATGGGAACCAAATGTATTTTTTGAGTCACTTGGAAGTTTCTAAAACTGAGGAAGAATCTGCAACTTAATTCTCTATGAAAGGAGATCAAATGTATATAAGTTAGGGAATAGGAAAGTTTCTTTTGATTCTGAGCTGATTCCTGATATTGGCGATCTCAATGGTAGAGTAGGCGTAAAAGACCAAGAATCCTCAGATGTACTAGGACAACATGGAGAACAAGTAAGAAACAATAATGATCAACGAATTAGACTTTTGTAGAGAGAATGACCTGATAATTATGAATTCTTTTTTTCAACACAAAGATGTGCACAAACGTACCAGAGAAGTCAAGAGTAGAGGAGAAAAGTCCATTATTGACTATGTATCGGTGAACAGACCTTTAAGACAATGTATCAAAGATGTCAAGAGTCAGAAGGGGAGCAGAAATATATAGCTACCATTACCTGGTAGTATCCCGAACTAGTATAAGCGTGGAACAAAAACGCACACAGAAGGTACCAAGAAAAAGAGACAAAACCCCAAGAAACCTCACCAAGGTAGTTATTAGGTAATACAAGTTAGCAGATAAGAAAATAACACAGATTTACAAAAACTATGTGAACAATAGTCTACAAAAGCACACGAAATACAACAATGGAGACCATGGTTAGGAAAGAAGCAGAGGAACCACAAATGAGATGGGCGGGTGTATTATTACAAAACACCTTCCATGAAAGTCTACATGTCTTCATAAAACAAAAAAGTTGATCATTATGTGAAAGAAACACAAATACTGTTGCAGTTTAATTTTAAATACAAAAAATTGCACCAATTGTGATTGGGCAACATAATCCTATTATTCAATTAAAGCAAGAGGATAAGTATGGTTTAGTATCCATGCAAGCAATTTTACACTTATGCCATGTATTAAAAATAATTTGAATGATTTGTTTATTTAAAATATTTGTTACAATTATTATTACTGAAAGGCAATTATAGTAAAGCATGCAAAGATAAGGATCTAAATGCCTCATAGTTCACTTACTAAATCTAAACTATTGTAAATCATTCTGCAGAATTCCACTATAACAACGCACTAACATCATATAAAAGCAAAAAAGCACCTTTGTAGGAAAGAAATTTTTTAATAAAGTACTGAAGATAATTCAAATAAACTTCAAGAATATCATGATGATATTCAAGAGATCTGTCAGTATAGAAAGTAACTATAGAGAACAATGTACCCCACCAACAGCAAACAAATAGATTTTTGTAAATTGTTATCATCCAATGCAAGGAAAAAAAGAAAAATGCACAGTATGTGTTTAACAAAAGAAGAAATCAAAGGAATCAATAAATGTCATGCACACAATAAAATGTTGAATATTTATGATGAACTCCTAAAAAATATACACTTAACAGTCTTAAATACATAGTGATTCAAAGAATGGGTATTATTTTACTTGCAGATTCGATTAGTAGATAAAATATTCATTTTTTCTTAATAACTAATCAAATATTAATACTCACTAAGATACAGATGTGTTTCTAAAAAAATGTGTTCTACATGGCATCCACCCACCTCAATACAATACTTTATTTACACAATCAGACATTTTTTTATAGAAAAAAAAGTTGGTAGGTCAATTATGATATTATCAACAGCTTCTTGAAATGTATTAATAAATATTTGGTTATATCTATTGTTTTTATGTAAGCAATATATTTTATGTGACACCGAGCATAATATTATATATAATCAGGTGTACGGAATTTTCGTTTTTATGTATGCGAATTTCGGCGAAATTTTGAACATAAATGCGAAATATTTAGTTTTTGTTTATTTCCGCGAAATATCTGCACGTGCTCAACTCACCCCTAAATAAGTATGTGGTTACGAAGGTATAGAAAGATTTTACAGAAAGTTTTTTATTGTAATTTTTGACATAATTGTTTGTTGTTGTAACAGTACAGAAGGATCTTTCATTGTTCATCATTAAATAGATAAAGATAAGAAAAGGAATTGATATTTTTCAATGTTGATTCTTTGAGAAATATAAATCAGCCGATTCTAATCATAAATTAGTCAACCAGGACAATCAGTGCTCATTCCGTTAATTTTTACTGAATGAGAACATTAGTCCAAATTCTAAAGACAAAAAACATAGACCATAGGGACTTACGAATAATAACAAACCTCTACTGGAATTAAAGAGCACAAATTGTAATAGATAATGAACGCAGTCCAGAAATTGAAATCAGGAGAGGAGTTAGGCAGGGATGTGTTAGGTCTCCATTACTATTTAATGTATATAGTGAAGAAGTTGAAGAAGCATTACTATCTCAAAATGAAGGAAAAATAATTAACGGAAGATCTATTAATAACATAAGATATGCAGATGACACCGTGATTATGGCAAGCTCTGCTGAACAATTCCAATTACTGCTAAACAAAACAAACAGTTTCTGTGAAAAATATGGACTAAAAATGAATATAAAAAAGACCAAATACATGATAATAACAAAGAAAACAAACATACATTTGGGAAATGTACTGATAGAAAGGGTTGATAAATACAAATATCTAGGAACCTGGATTTCAGACAATGATGATCAAACAACCGAAATACGAGCCAGGATAGAAATAGCAAGAAATGCGTTTGTAAAAATGAAAACAATTCTCTGCAACAAAGATCTTAGATTAGAACTGAGAGTAAGAGCACTGAGATGCTACATGTTTTCGATACTGCAGTATGGATTTGAAAGCTGGACATTGAAGCAAGAACACATAAATAAGTTACAGTCCTTTGAAATGTGGTGTTACAGGAGGATGCTTAGAATAGCATGAACACAGAAGAAAACTAACACGGAAGTATTGCGATCAAACACAATAAAAATAAGAAAGTTACAATATCTGGGATATGTAATGAGGGGACAGTGATATGAACCGCTAAGGCTGATAATACACGTAAATATAAGAGGAGCAAGGAGTATAGGAAGAAGGAGAGTGTCATGGTTGAAGAATTTAAGGGACTGGTTTAAATGCAGTTCTATAGAACTCTTCAGAGCAGCTGTAGATAAAGTAAAAATAGTGATGATGATATCCAATCTCCGATTGGGAGACTCTAAAGAAGAAGAGAGCATAGTTTATCAAAAAAGTTTTCACAGTAAAATAAAGTTACTTACATTATACTCTTAAATGGGACGCCCTAAAACAATTTTGAGTGACAGAGTCAAAGAACATACTCAATTTTTTTGATGTGTGGGAGAATGAAAACTCCAGTATTAAATTTCTCAAAGACAATTATGCCGATGAAACTTTCACCACTGAGTTCTGTCCAAAATTAATTAATCTAACAGACAATTTGGAAGGAGCCAGTTATCCATTTGCCCATCTTTTATGGAACAAATATGTGGAGTTAAAATCATCACTTGAACACCATCGCCAAGGTTATTTTGATATAAAAACATCTTGATTACTCACTGAAAACGAAGAAATTGATGCTACACTGAAGTACATGCTTATGAAAGCAAATAACAAAGCCTTTAATAAACTAATTCTCCATATGACTTTAAAAGACACAAACGAGGTTATTTTACACATTGGACAGTTATTTAACCCATGTATAGCTGCAAGTTTTACTGTGAACCTGAGTGTACTCTCAGAAAGCTTTTCTAAAATTTCTTTTTTTAGAATAATGACACAATTAGAGTACATAGATGGATATAATCAATCTCATAGATTAATCCTTCAAACAATATGAAGGAACGAAATGTGAAGGATATTTTGCTTGCTACACAGTGCAGTTTTCTGTCATTTGCTAAAGCAACACTACAGAGCATCTGGTGTCCAATGAAAAGCGTAGATGCAGAACGATTCTTCAGCAAATATAATATTGTGGTGACAGATCGAAGAACAGCTCTTAAAGAGACGAATGTCAAAATTACGATATTAGCTTTTGATTAATGTTTTTTGTTGTTTTACTCATAGAAAAATAAATGCGGAATTTTGTAATTATAAAAATAAATGCAAAATTTATGTTTTTTATTTGTGAAAATTCCGTACCCCTATATATAAACCATTGGTTAAAACCTGGACTACAGGGTGGCCAAGGAAACTGATTTTCATGATATATTTATAACAACACCTCAATTTTTCCTAAAAAATGTTTTCAAATGTGTCATTACCTCTATTAATATTATAAATTCATATTTATAACGCTTTTACTTCAGTTAATTTAGATTTTTAACTAAACCACATTAATAAATTGATTTTATTATTACTGTAACTCAGTATTAATACTAGATCATTAGTTATTAACAAAAATGTTACATTTTTCACTAAAGAATCTTGAAAAAAATACTTCTGATTCTTCATGAATGACCCTGTATATTGTCTACAGAAGAAAATTGCAAAAATAAAAAGAAAACAAAATAAAAACCTATTCACACCAAAAGAGATGTAAAATATGTTTATCACTTGGAATTTGATCACAAGAATAACATCTATCAAACCTGCTTACCCCATTCCTCTCTATTTCCACTTTAATAATGGCTTTAGTAAAACTGGTAAAATCCTGTTTCACTTCATCACATACACTGTGGTTCTGGAATTTAAAAAAGGCATTCTACAACAGATTCTTACCATGAAATCTATGTAATCATAGGCACATTAAGGCAAAATCTACATTTAGGATCAAAAAGCAGGATTAGCAGGGATCAATTAAAATAACTGTACACATACTCCCATTAGCTATTGTTAAATATTATGTGAAACAAGTGTTGTGTTATCTTCAAAAAAATACAGACTTTTATCTTTACACTTTTCAGTACTATTACAGCATTCAAAAGTTTTAAAACTAAATAGAATCAAGAAGCAAACTACTCAGCCCAACAAAAAACATATTCTTCTAGTTAACTCTTTTATACATAAAGATTATCAGTAAACATAAGATTTACAACTATAACAAAAAAATGAAGACTTCATAGTTTTAGCTTTAAGACAATTTATTAAGTGTCTAAATATCTTTTGAATCCATTTAGTTATGCCTTCAGTTTCCTTAATCAAGATACTTCTTGTATAATCCACATATATCACAAACTAAAAACAACTCAAGGCCTTTTTGTTTAAATTATTTGTCTGTAAAATTCTCTTTTTTATCTGTTCTCACCATCCTAATCAGGTGTTTTATTTGCATTTTCATCCTCAGTACAGCTTGTGCTTTCAAGAGATATTTAAATAATATAAACTCAATCATGCGTAATAATCTGATGTCACTATTACAGCAAAAAGTTCAACTCATAGAAGATTAGAATGTCACAAATACTCACCTATGAATAGTGGGAATAGTAGAAAATTAAGATAATATAATTTTATAATTTTCTTTTGTACATAAAAAACCATACAAATTTGGGTTGAAACCTTAATAGGGAATATAAACCAACTTTCAAAGCAATTACTATTTCTTATAGAAAGAAGGAGCATGATTTGATGGTAAAAATTTGTTATTTCTGCATAATATTGTTTATATTACCTTTCCAGCAGGTATTTCGAATTTTCTCCATCCATGTTCACTTTTAAATTTATAAGCAGCTAATAGCATGTGGCACAGACCACCTCCAGGCTTGAAATCTAAGAAGAATTTTACCTAAAACAAATTTATTTACTTAGTCAAAAACAAACACAAAGCATATAGGCCTTAAATCGAACAACAATCAGTCTAAGGAGATACTTGTGAAAAAATCCTTTTAGTTGTAGTTATTAAAGGCACTGGCTACATAAAAATAACTCCTTATGTGTATTGTAACAAATTTTTGTCAGGTTAGTTAATTAATGATGTTTGTTAAACTATTCAAATTTTGATATACTTACTGGAATTCTAGTCATTGGTGGTTTCTGTGTATTTTTTCCCAGAAAATCCTCCTGGAACTGCATAAATTGTACTGCAGTTGCTGATAATGTTTTGTTTGTAATTGGTTCATTTTGTACATACTAAAAACACATATAACATTAAGTAGAAATAAAAACAATCTAAACTGGAGTAAATTTTGTTATAAGTACTTTATCTTATCCAAATTCTTGTGGAAAATCAAGTCCTACTTTGAAATTACCTGAACATATCTAATAACTGGATCTCACAAAGAATCCAATGAAAAAATATGAATTTTTTATTACGCTTGACAAAGCTCTTCGCTAAGAATTACAGCAGTAACATAGGACTTTAGTACTATTATAGTCAAACTTCTTATTTAAGTGCTGTCTCCCAATTGGAGGTTGGATATCATCATCACTATCTTTACTTTATCTACTGCTGCTCTGAACAGTTCTATAGAACTGCATTTAAACCAGTCTCTCTTAAATTCTTCAACCATGACACTCTCCTTCTTCCTATACTCCTTCCTCCTCTTATCTTTCCCTGTATTATCAGCCTTAACAGTTCATATCCCCTTATTATGTGTCCTAGATAATGCAACTTTCATATTTTTATTCTGTTTATCCATGTATCCATGCTATTTAAGCATCCTCCTGTAACACCACATTTCAAAGGACTGTAACTTATTCATGTGTTCTTGCTTCAATGTCCAGCTTTCAAGTCCATATTGCAGTATCGAAAACACGTAGCATCTCATTGCTCTTCCCTCAGTTCTAATCTAAGATCTTCATTTTTACAAACGCATTTCTTGCTATTTCTATCCTAGCTCTTATTTCCATGGTTTGATCATTATTGTCAGAAATCCAGGTTCCTAGGTATTTGTATTTATCAACCATTTCTATCAGTACATTTCTCAAATCTATGTTTGTTGGTATATTTGTTTTCTTTGTTATTATCATGTATTTAGTCTTTTTTATATTTATTTTTAGTTAAACAGTAATTGGAGTTGTTCAGCAGAGCTTGCCATAATCACGGTGTCATCTGTATATCTTATAATAGATCTTCCGTTAATTATTATTCCTTCACTTTGAAATAGTAATGATTCTTCAACTTCTTCACTATATACATTAAATAGTAATGGGGACCTAACACATCCCTGCCTAACTCCTCTCCTGATTTCAATTATGGACAGTGTTCATTGTCTATTACAATTTGTGCTCTTTGATTCCAGTAGAGGTTCGTTATTATTCGTAAGTCCCTATGGTCTATGTTTTTTGTCTTTAGAATTTGGATTAATCTTTCATGTCTTAGGTACTTTTTCAAAACCAATGTAACAAACATGCACATCAACATTCATATCCAAGCAGTTTTGAGCTAACACATTAAAAGCAAATAATGCTTCTCTGGTTCCTAGTCCGTTTCTGAACCCAAACTGACTATCATCTATTCCTTCTTTCTTTAAGTTTTTTATTTATACAACCATGTATTATTTTCAGGAATAATTTGAGAATGTGACTTATTGTGATATTGTTCTGTATTCACTGCGATATTTTGCGTTTGTATTTTTGGATAGCACAAAAGATAGAGAGTAACCATTGTTTCCGTAAGTGGCCTGTTTTGTATACTGAATTTAATAAGTCTACTATAATATCTGAGGTTTCATCATTCATGCATTTTAAGATTTCTATAGGGATTTGGTCTGGACCTAATAATTTACCATTTTTGCTGTTTTTTAATACCATTTTAAGTTACTCTTTAAATATCCTTAAAACCATATCCTCTTCTACTTCTATCTCCATCTGTTCTGTTCTATTGTCTTTGAACAGTTCATTGATGTATTCTGTCCATCTCTTTCATTTGTCGTTAGTATTCAACACAAGTTTCCCATTTGCATCTTTCAGTATTCCTGATTTTCTTGTTCTATTGTGAGGTAATTCTTTAATTTTTTTATGTGTGTTAAAACTATCATGTCCTTTCTGGTATAGTCAAATATTACTTTAATTAAATAACATAATTTAGTTATTAAAATAGTTACCTCATTTTGGATAAAGCTTTACAAAGACAATATACAATCGTTGGCACTGGGATCATGACTCATTGGCACTAGTAATCAAATTGATATTATTGAGATCAAAATACACTTACCTTTTTACCATTCTTCTGCAACCAACTTTTAACTGCTTCGAGTGCTGTGAGAGTCTCTGGTGACTCAAAATATTTTATATTTGGACCTCCGTCCATTTTTGGTCCTACAGATAACATGTTGATGTTTTATAAATGAACGCCGATAATGAGAATGCCGCTAATACTTTGTTTAATAGGTACAATACAAAAAGTTCTATAGTATGATCACAATCTTCACCTCAAACATACTATATTATTATAGATAAACAATTCTTTTCGCATAATTATTAAGAATAGGAATCAAACAATGTTTACAACAGTTACATACCAACAGCCGCCATCTTTTTTGAGTTGAAAGTTTGAAAGGAGTGCTGAGACAGCACTGTAAACCAACTTCATAAAATAAAAGTTCCTAATACCCCCATCTTCCGTCAATAGTATAGGCAATTCTTTATACTATTAATGTTACTACAGTATAGACAGAGTTTTTATGTATTTAAATTTTTATGGTATATCTAATAAAGTATTTAAATTTAGGTTATAAGAATTAACGAATCAAAGAATTACGTATTTTAGTTATCTCTAGGCATACAGTTTCAAATATAATCCGAAATTTAAAATATAGTGAGATATAGGATATTGGTTCTTTTGCGCAAAACAAATTGCTAATACACTGATTTATCAGTTTTCTCAACAATTACCAGGTTACTAAGCCACTGCGTAGGACCATCAACCTTTGCTATGATTTCTCGCTTTTCAAGATCACTTAGTTGATTATTCAGTTTAGGCTTGATCGTAAGTGGGACTCTACGAGGTAGCCTAGCCACTGGCATTGCATTTTCTTTAAGCTCTAAGCTTTAAACTAATTTTTTCCGAAATTTACCTAAACCTTAAAAAACATCCTTATTCATTTCTACAACTTTTAAATCAAGCTCTATGGTAGAACATAAACCCAAAATAGGTGTTGATCTTTCCTTTACAACAATAAAATCTAATAAATCATAAATATTTTTATATTTACAGACAAGTTTTATTATACCCAAAGGATTGATCTTAAAACCACCATATGTCTCAAGTATGACTTTAGTTTACCTTGGTAAACCTTGGTTAAAATGTTAAACTGTGCTCCTGTATCTATTTTAAAAGGTATATCAACGTTATTAATTTTTGAATTTTCCATCCAGTCTTTATTATTTTTATTCTTAATTTCATTAACAGTGATTGATGAAATCGTCTACTTCATTATTTTCACTTTCTTCCACTTGAACCTCTCTTACTAACCTACCATGATAACACACTTTATCAAGATGCCCATATTTACCACACTTTATACACTTTTTTCCAACTGCTGGACACCTCCTTGGTCCATGGACACTCCCACAGTTTCTGCAGTTAAATTCATCTCTAGAAGAACTTGCACCACTGACTGTTTGAACTGAATTATGCCCCTGCTTGACTTTACTTCCAATTGATTCAATTTTCACCTTCTCTAAGCTGTTCTAAAACTTTTTTTATTTGAGCTTGGGATACTTCATGCATTTTACATATTTCAATAGCTTTAGTCATATCTAAATTTTAATTGTTTTTAACATGCTATGCTATCCTTACTATTGGTGCCTAATACTATTCTATCGCTTACCATTGAAAATACTTCAACTCCAAACTCACAATTTATTACTTTATTTTTTAAATCTGTAAAAAAGTGGCCAAAAGGCTCTCCTTCCTCTTGAATGCGCTTATAAAACAAATATCTTTCATAAACCACGTTTTTTCTACGAATAACATAAGTCTCAATGCTTCCAATACATCTGCTAGCTTTCCTTGTTGGACCTCTGTTAATTCCAAACTGTTATAAACCTCAATGCCTTATTCTCCAGTTAAATTGAGTAAAATTGCTACCTTAACTTCATCACTTTTACAACTTTTTCCTGATGTCATCAGATATATTATAATGATAATGGATTTGGTAAGCTTGCTTCCATGATTTTCGTTTAATTTCCACTAGACTGCGCCAAGTAATAATATTTCATTGTGTTCAATACATTTATTTAAACATACCTTTTAACAAATGTCTGCAAGAATCAACAATATCAAAATCCCATGTTCTAACAATGATCCTCTGGTAAGTAGTGTCAACTACCCCGAGTCCCCATCCATTGTGCTTAGAGCCACGTGACCGTAATCATAACCTGCTGATATGACAAAAACCATCCAACCTATGCAACGGCACACGTTTGGTCATTTAAAGTATCACCGGAAATATTATAGAAGCAACCATTTTGACCGGACGATTTGAAGGAGAAATCGTCCTATCGCCACGTATCCCAATGATACCCTCATATACCACAATCCACAATATCGTTCAAAAGGCTTCAATTCCCTGTTCGAATATCAATCCGTGTTCCTCAGATGGTCAATTATATGTTGGTGAACCATCAAATTTATTTATATTAGCAAAAAACAAATTAACGAAAAATTGTGTACCAGTTAGCGATTAATTGAATGTTAATTAATAGGTACAATTTAGAATAATATAATTATTTGAAGTAACAATCAAACTTTTCATACCTCCTCTATGGAACTCAATTCATTGAAAGTTAACAAATATTGTATATAAACTTAAAAATCAAAATTTTTTTGTGGATTATGTTTAATTGCTAATATTGTTTCTGATTTTGCAGCTAATGTTATTTTTCAAGTTCACGGGATTTTATAAAATACGAGGTTTGTAGAGATGTGTTTGTGCGAATAAACACTATACAATGCTATTTTCCAGCCTATTTACTCATCTTTTATTCAGAACAACTAAAATACATTTAAATCACAAAAAGTTTATTTTTTTCTACAAAGATATTTTCACATGGGCACATATTCTTCTGTGATCGATCAGTTCGAAAATTTCTCACATTCTACTAACTTTTGAGCTTCATTCTGCAAAAAAAATAAACGTTAATCAAACATTTTTCGTGTGGTTTTGTATTTAAAAGATTTCATAAACAAACCTAACTTAAAAATTTAAGCCATTTATTTAGTTGCACGTAATTTTTTAAAGGTTAATGAAAAGGAAAACTCAATAAAAACTGTTTTTTGGAAAAAGTGATGAGGCAAATTTTTTTTTTTAAATATTGTGTTAAACTAATGATGCCACAAAATTCATTTGATTTTAACGTACTCAAAAGTTTTGGGGATTTAGGGCTACACACGCCCCTTAAAATTTTTTTGTGTGCTTAGATTTTGTTGTTTCTTTTTTATGCAAAATGCTTTTAGAACAAGAAAGTAACGTGTCCATTTTTTTTACAAAATGTCAAGTAGATATAGATAGGAGATAATGTAAAAAAACAATTTTTATTTTGTAACTTCAAAGGGTGTACACAAAACTTTTTTTGTGTACACTTTTATACTAAGGTAAGTTGGATTCAATCAATTTATTTTTATCCCCGGAATGCGTGATTTAATTTATGACATACCTTTTTGAAACACCCTGTATAGACGATATGTTTTGTCCTTCATCATTTGAGCCTCATTTTTTCACTGTTCTATAATAATGCTATAATAATATGAGTACTATAATAAATATAAAAGAATACCCATGGAGATGTTGTCCAGTAACAAGAATGGAAAGAAAAAGAAATGAGGGGATGAGACAGGAATCTCTAGAAAAAAGAATTTTAATATATGTATATATAGGAAAGTAATAACTATCATAATATATAGTATACATAATATTGGTATAGTATGCAGAGAATATAATAGGAAAACATTAAACTGGTTTTAGGGTGTAAAAGTCAACAAGAGAATAGTCATCAAATATCAACACTGAGACAACTTCTGGAAAAAACAAAGGAATATGGTCTTGAATCAGACCATATATTTGTTGATTTTAAATCGGCTTACGACAGACAAGATTTTGTTTGAAATAACAAATTCCTGGGTAAACTTAATAAAACTAATGGCATTCAACGAGGTGACATACTCTCTTCCACACTGTTTAATTTAGGCCTGGAAAACTTAATCAAAGTGAAATATAAAAACACTATTAAATTACTTCTAAAACTTTTACTCGTTGTATTTCAGCACGGATTATTATTTAACCAAAGTTTAACCAAAAAATTAATATTTTTCACCATACTTAAAGAAAGAAAAACTAAAAAATGCTTTATACATCACCCTCAAAGTCATCTTTATACATCTACAGTTTGATATATCAACAAAGAAAGTCTACTGAAATCGTGAAAATTTAATAATTCGAATAACAAACCCTTATCGAGTAGCTGATTGGAAGAGGTAAGTAGATTTACAAAGATCTGCTTAATGCTTATGTATTCAGCGCATTATTGTATGAGACCATCAAAAATTAGATTGGAAGCTTCAAAATGAATTTTCCATTGAAGATGAAGACCGATCAGGAAGGCCAGTTTATGTGGCCACAAGCATGATACGATTTTATAGTTAAATTGGACTAAAAGGAATATTTCAAGCACTGCTTTTTTATATGAACGTATCCCCCATTGTCTGAATATTGAATTAAAGCTTGCAACTTACGTTAGTAAAATGAACAAAAATGAAGTATTAATCGATGTAATATGGCTACTCTAGTTGAGAAGTGTTCAAAAATCTGATAGAAAAATTGTTGCTATAGTTTTTTGAGATTGCCATGAGGTAATCCCTGAAAGGACGTCCCTGCACACAAATTACATGTTGTCATGCAAACAATGAGTGATTTAGAGTTCGAATTACTCGAACGGTTTCCTTGTTCGCCTGATCTGACTCTGTCTAGCGATCAAGTCTTTCTTAAACTGAAAACTAGATCGAGAAAGTCGTAGAAGCCTGGTTTGCAGAGTAAGATATGAGCAAAACAAGAAACATTAAGTTGGAAGGTCAAGAAGTGTTTCAGGTTAGCTGTAATAAACGTATCTAACTAAAAGGAGAGTAAGTCAAATTTGGTTTGCTTTCATAATATGTTAAAAAATGTTAAATATTATCCTCGTAACACAACAAGCACGTAATACAAAAAATGGTTCAACCTATTTTACATAAACATACAAAAAACAATAAAAACCAGTAGAATATAATCTCAAAAGAAGAAATTAAATGGAAGATATGAAGAGTATTGTAAGTTAATATTATAGGATCAAATCAACTGCTGTGGTACGGCCTTGTGATGGAGATGGAGGAGGAACTCTGGTCAAAGATACCGTTAAATTATGTACCACGTCTCAAGAGGATAATAGGCAGACCTTCCGTAGCATGGACAGTGGGAGTTAAACAATTATCAGAGACAGCGCCAAAGCTGACGAGGGCAAAAGATCGCAAATGCTGTAGGATTCACACAATAGATAGATATAATAAATGG